AAAATATGCAATCAAAATGCCACTACCAGTTAGGTGTACTTGACCCGCCTTTTGGGCAGAGCCTCGGGTTTGTAGCCCTTTTTTTAAATGAAAAATGAAATTTAGCAATGTTTTATAAAATAATGAAATCTAGCCATTTTAGGAGTTAAAAGTACACTTTTATTCTTATTTATATTTACCTATCGAAAAAAAAGTGAAAAAGACTGCAGACAGATTTGGGACGCCGCGCCTTCATCTCCATTCTTCTCTCCTCCATTGTTCCTCTCTTCCTCTGCTCGCGCGGTTATGTGAAAAAAAAATAAAAATTTACTCATCTTCCCAAAATTCAATTAAAAGTGACCTCTTTTCAAATATCATTTCCAACACCACCAAGTGCATCCCTTTGTTGAGAAGAAAAAAAGTACATTAACATAAACCTAATTTTTTTTAATTATGTTAAATAAAAATATTTTGAAAACATTTATTATTGTTGTTCCCAAAATTATTCAAAATTATTAATTTGTCTAGTACCATTTTATTTTGTTGAACTCATATTTTTTTGGAGTTAAAAAAAATGAAATTTTTGTGCTTCAAGAAAAGGTGTTGTGTTTTGTTTCTTGATCAATGGTACTTTTTGTTTCTTTTCCATTGTTTTCATTCTCCGCGAATCGCGTTAGATCTCGCGAAAAATTTCTCAATGTTGGAGGAATGGAGGCAGGGACGGACCTGCATTAGGTCCAGGGGGCCCGTGGGCCCCCCTTAATTTTTTTTTTTAAAATCATTATATATATATATATATACAAATAAAAAACACTATAAATTATGAATAAAAATGTAAGAAAACATGTAGAATATATAAATAATTAAAACTTGTTTTCAATGCTATTTTAATTTAGTGTTATAATATTATTTATTTATTGAAAAGTATGATAACAATCTTTATATATTACATTTATGAAAAATAAATATATAATAATTTACTCTTTCGGCCTCTTAATTGTAAATCAGTTTAATGATTTATAAAATTTAGAATTTAGTTGGATAGTTAGATTTTTGAATGTTGATCGATTGTACATTTAAATGTTGATTTTTTACTTTTTTTTTTTGGTAATCATATATTAATGGTCATTTGATAAGCTCTCATCAAGAAAAAATGTTATGCAATGTATTGCAAAAGTTCAATATAAATCAAATTTTAAACAAAAAGACTTATTTTCTTCGTAAATTATAGATCTTAAACTTAAAATATAAATACACGAAATCTCAATTTTTTTTTCCTAAAAAAAAAGTTTGAGGGTGATATGGATTCTAAGTTTTTAAAAACTTCATGGTACACATATCTATATTTATAAGTAAACACAATTTATATAAAATGAGCGTTTCTACGTAAACAACAAACTCGTTATTTAATATTTAAAATTGGGCCCCCCTGAGTCAAAATCCTAGCTTCGTCACGGAATGGAGGAAAACTGCTGCAAAACATATTTTTCTTGTTTAGTTAAAACTCTCATTGTTTTCTTGTTTTTGTGCTTAAAAAAAAAACAGGTTTCCTGAACACGAAACAGGTTTCTTGAACAAGAAGAAACTCGTTACTTGAACAAGAAGGAACTGTTTCTTGAACAAGAAACTGTGTCTTGTATTCATATATTTTTGTCCAAACATATTTGAAGGTAAAAAAAAGATGAAGAAAGTATTTTACTAAGATTTACTTTTTTATTTATTTATTTTTTTCATATGGACG